TTCAAAAGTAGTCGATTTTTATGCTCTTATGTAAGACTTTTCTCAGCTGCTTGTGAACTTGCACGATCGGCTTGTAGGTTTCAAGTTAGTTGGCTTAACTTGACCTGCGAACTTTCAGATTCTTATTGAGCTTGACCGCTCTCTGGTCGATATGCTCATTTAGTAGCAAACGACTGTTGGACCTGACAGAGTAACTGAATTTCTGAACAATATAAGGACTGGATTTCTGATTTCACATGCTTAACCTCAGCCACTAGCTTTAAGGCAAATTCTTCCGTGTTAGATTGAGTGTTGTGATATGCTGGAAGAATCATGACGGCATTTTACCATAGAAATCAGAAGAATTATTTGAATTCTGAGTGGTATAAGTATTCGAGCTTCGGCAAACGGACTTTATGTGCCTAATCTTACCACATTTATGGCACTTAACACCCCGGAAACGTCAAGTATTTCTTAAGTGAATCTTTCCTTATGGAAAGCACAATATGATATTCTTGGTCTTCCTCTGCAATTTTTCAAATGTGGATGACGCCGCATTATCCTGCATTATCAAATTCGGACAGCATCATATTGGACAGTAACGCAGGAGGAACTGGGTATTCTGTGTCAGCATCTTCATATATAGTAAATGAATCATTGGCAGTTTGAAAAGTGCATGAAGGAACTTGAATCATCTCTCTTTCTAGCTATGGAATATTAGTCCCAGGAATTGGATGATCACGTAGTTGAGTATGGAGCTGACCCCCATAGCTGCGTTTTGAAGCTTGCATCTGGAGAATGAAGTCTTAAATCTTCTGATTAGCAGCAAGAACTAGTTTATTGGGCTGGGCCCCTTCTTGTGTTTCAAAAGAAGTAATATGGTAGTGGTCTATTAAAAGCCCATGAAGTTTGTCATACGGCGGAGAATTTGGTTTGTCTGAAAATGCGAGAGTTCTTAGCAAACTGTATGCATCTAGTCTAATCGTAGAGATAAATTAGGCTGAAATTTTCTCCTCTAGCATATTCTTCGATAAACATTATGCATCAAAGCATTTAAGGAAATCAGCGATTTCCCGCGGTACACCACTGGCTGGAAACTTTCGAAGATTATTTAATTCCATAGCGATGCCAACTGTTCTACTTATTTTGTGATTATATTTCTCAGTGATCAAATTCCAGGAAATCAGGGAACAACACGATAAGAACAGAAGTCAGGAATTCGTATTTGGCGGAATTATTTGTATTGTGTGATTACAAGGAATATTAACAAACAACAGGGAATACTTAAACAATGTGGTAATAGAAATTTTTATTCACCACGCTTAGCGGAAGGAAGCAGCACAAGATTTATCACTATAACTCCTTTTACTTGCGGATCAAAGGAGGTGTGATCAGAAGCAGTAGTCAGTTGCAGGAGGCCTTATTGCAATAAATTAATATGATATCACTGGGAGTACGTTTTTATGAATTATCACCCAAACTTCTTAGAATTCACAGCTAGTATTTTTGAGGTATTTGGAAGAACTAGTGTTTGCTACTTTGATTCATCGCAAGTGCTATTGTCTTTTGTCATAGCATACTTTTCCATAAGATGAATTCAATCGGCATTTATATTCATTCGCTTATATAGCTAAGGCCATTTCTAATTCTTCGTAGTCGAGTTATAAAAATCAAATTCTAACAGTAAAGCCTGAAGCCTGTTATCGATGCAAATGAGCCAAGGTGTAAGTGCTACACTTCATTTGCTGAAAATGAAATAAATAACCGATGTCAGATCGAATATATATCTAAGTGTCTGTTGAAAAAGACCATATGTGAACGAAAAGACATCATTTCATTCCCATAAATCAACGTGGGGAAAGATAAAAATTATCTAAAATGTGTAGTTATAACAAAATGTAAATCGTCAATAGAGAGAATTTCAGTTAATATGGTGTAACATCAGAGACTGAAAGCCCTGTAACCTTATTAAGAACGAAGTCCACAACTTATTTTATTGATAAGGCTGCCGACATTTTTGTGGCATCATGTATGCGGTTAGGGAAATGCAATATGAAATGGTGTAAAAGTGAGAAATCTGTAAGCATTTGATGAAATCCAAATTGTTCTACGTGAAATGTGTTGAGGGCGAATTTACGACTCTCTTATAGATGTCAAAATATTCCTGTCTAGTGATACAAACCATGAGGGTGAGGGATTGTTATTTGTGACCAGTCATTGTTAAGTCAGTGATCTCCAGAATTCCATGTGGAAAAATGTTCTCTAATGATAAGGACCGATATAACTTTTGTGCGACCACTCACACTAATTCATTATATTAGTTAGTGTCATACCAGATGAACTACTGCCTTAAATGTAAAAAAGCATGAAAAGACCATTGGACATTTGACTGTTTTTACTTCTTAGTATCAGGAAGACTTGAAATACTATTACAGCAATATATATATATATCATATACTGTCCGGACATTTGAAATATTGTGTACAACAGTAATTGCAGAGTAACTTCTTTATTGCCTATGTGGATACTGTTGGGTGAGATAGACTTATCCTCATTCCTTTAGATAATCATACAAAGCAGTATCTGAAGACAAACTACTAAGCCATTTGGATTTACTCAATGTTCATATGATAAAAATTAACCAATCTTTAGAATAAAAATTACAATCATGAAAGTTAAATGTCATATAATACTATAACAAAATTCTGTGGTTTGCTGAAGACAAACCATTTGAATATTTCAACAATTTCAGGAAGCAATTTGGGCTTAGAATTCTCTAAAATACTACTGAATGTAAAGCCGTCCAGGATATTGGAAGTGTCTTGGGTATACCCTCTTTAATCCTCAAAATACGTCGTTTTAGGTAGCATACGTAAATGTTTAGCTGACCTGATGCTTTTACTACTCAATTTATAGACATCAGTTGATGAATTCCGAGAAGAGATGATTTTGTGTTTTACTGCTATTTCTAATCATTCATGGAATTACATCCCATCTATACAGTGTTTCTACATCTTCACATTACTTATTTGGATTTGGCAACAAAGTGCGAGAGTTTTCTGTGATAAACATTCAAATGGAAGCGAAAAACTGTTCACATTTTAAATATTCGATAAAAGGGAAGCTAGGGAGCTTAGAAGTGTAAAGCAAATTATTTCAACGGAATCATAGGTTCACAGTCAGTTAAAATTTCTGTAAAGCAGAACAAATTATCTATAACAGTTGAAGCGAATTAGTTTTCACTAGTACTTTGGTGCATATGAACTGAAGAAACAGAATTAACTGTTTGGAGAGAGCATTCTAAAATATGTTCGAAACTCTTTAGTCATGGCGTTTGAGGAACTACATTTATACTAATTTCTCAGTAGAAAATGGAACATGAGAATAAGCCGTACAAATGCTATGCATGCAAAGATTGAGAGAATAATACTAAGACTCATTTCAATGTCTTTTCGAATTAGAAACTAATTATCCTTTGGTTACTGACTAGTACAGAAATGTGGAATAAACAGAATCATTGCTGAGAGACGAGTATCTTGACAACAGGCTTTTGGATTTTGACTCCAAGGAATTCATCTAGGTACATGCTAGTGTTGTTGAGAACAGAAGTATGGTTATACAGTTAGAATTTATCATTCATGAAGTGTGTTTACTGGTGTTGAATGTAAATCTATTAATCTTATGCATACACAGATATTCAAATTGTGAAGAGTGTCAGCTAGTTGACTGTATACTGATATCCAAAAACATTTTATTCCATAGTTTTATTAAACAATGGATATAGGGAAACTAATATGGGAGATAAATGATCACAATGGATTATAACTTTATATATATATATATTTGATTGGACACTAGTCAGTAACTAGTGTAATGTGAATGTCTAGTCCTATCTTTGGTGCAGACTGAATTCTCTCAGTCAAGTTTGCAAAGTGACCACCATGCTAGGTGTCTTGCCATCAAGGTGCACTGAGAATTGTTGGTATTAGATGGTTGGAGGCAATTGGCAGGATGCCTTGGACGTAGGTTTCGTGCGCTAGTTGGCACTCATCAGCAAGGCGTATCTGCAACCTCGAAGGAACTCGTGTCCCTTCTCAGATTCGACTGACCAGTGTCCAATCAAAAATATCCAGTATAGTCCTACAGGAGGTCAATCACAAGCCTGAGTAGCTCAGTGGCAACGTCTCCGTCTGCAGCACTTGGTGGCGCGAGTTCCAATTTCAGAAGGGACATGAGTTCCTTAGAGGTTACAGGTACGCTTCACTGACTAGTGAGTGCCAACTAGCACGAAACCTAGGTCCAAGGCTTCCTATGGCCAATTGCCTCCAACCATCAAATACCAACAATATATATATATATATATATATATATATATATATAAAGAGAGACAATGCGTTATTCACCACTTTTCAGATACTTACATGAACTGTGAAAATCTTTAGTGAGAAGTTTTCATGCATTGGAAACGTTACTTTTTATGTAATTTTAATAACAGAATCACCAAAGATATATTATGAGAAAAGTAGGCTTCAGAAAAGTGTTATTTTGAATATCTGTGAGTAGGAAAGTATGCTGTGACGGACATGGTTATTTACCACAATGAACATGCAGTAAATAGTGCTAGAGTTTATTTTAATACAACACAAACATGAAATGCTACTGATGTTACCTTTCTGACAGTTTTCAAATTTCATCTTGTGATATTATTTTGCTACTTGCTAATTAATATTATCGATCGATTCATTCCGCTTACACGATAAGTTTTGTCGGGAAATGACATTAGTTAGACGACCACTAACAATCGGGGAACACTGGACAGCTGTTTTGGCCTAGATTAAGAATCTTCAGCGGTGCTTATCAATCAGATATTTTAAAAACTGTAAGGACCCTGAATCAAGTTATTCATTTTTCTTTGGTTTTGTAAAAAAATCGCCTACATTGTGCCAGACACTAACTAACTGAATTTTTTTTCTATACCATCCCAATGTCATTACCAGTTTATCCTAACAAAAATATCAACATTATATTAATAATTATATAATAATTTGAAAAAGAGAGTACAATGACATTTTAAATGAAGCATAGTTGATTCAGATGAAATGCAGCGTAAATTACTATAATTAAATTAAAAGCAAGATATAGGATTAATAATGTGATTTCTGTTTATGAGGTGCATAATACTCATAAATTTGTTAAAGTCAAAAATTTATGGATAATATTGGTAGAATGGCAAGTAGAGAAACCATAATTAAAGGCAAAGGTATTTGTATCCTTCCACTGGAGTTGCACAAGTCCCCACTACAACAAGAAGTGACTATTCCTGTACCAGACCTTCTAGAATCACTTTCAACACATACAGGCACACAACTGCGACTGGTTACCATTAACCTGTCTTGAGAGTATGTTCTTACAGTCTATAAAAAGGAATAGAAAAAAAACATTGTCACAAAGGGCAAATATAAGTTAATTTTGAGTGGTGTTAGACCATCTTTCAAAAAAACAGCAAACAATGAAGATCAGTCATTCTGTTTAAGAAAAAAACACGATTCGTAATAGGAGAATGCTATGATGAGTAAATTAAGTTTTACAAATTTTTTGCATAAATATTATTCATTCAGCTAAACATGTGACGGGAATTAAGTATTTAGTTTGTTCACTGCATAGAACGCACTGTGAAAAAGTATCATTCACATATTTGAAGTGATTATGAATAATATAATGCGTGTGAAAAGTCATCCACTAAGTAATGATACTATTTCAGTATATAATCTATGTAATAAACAAACTAATATGAGATTTCATACTACAACAGTGGCTTAATTTTACGCGTCTATTAATTTAGTATAACCAGAAAATTTGAAGGCCTTTAGTTATCTCTTTTTCCCCTATTAAATAAGAACAGAAATTGGGCACTGTGGTGGGATATAATCCCATCCCTATCCCATGGAACATACACTAATACAGTATTATTTACTGATGACATTTCAAGCACAATTTATTACTCATAATCATATCAAGCTGTTCATATGACTTTCAGGTTTTGTTTAAATAGTTCCATTATTTAATTATCCTTTGATTATGTTGGTCATAAGATCTTCTGTATCTCTGGTACTAGTGTTGGGTTATTCACCTAGCAAGTGTTTGGTGGAGATTTTCCGCACAAAGATGCGTATATATATATATATATATAGCGTTGGTTAGACAGAATACAAAGTTCATTCATTCGATAGGCAAATGAAAATCTGTGCTTTCTAACAACACTCATTAACAGTTTTTAAGAGATGATTTGTAGGGATTCGATTTGTTTTTCAAGTCTGACCACGGACTGATATCAGTTAGTGAACTATAAAAAACCAGGGAGTACTGGACAGCTGACTCCATTATGGATAATGGAGTTATGCTCTACCACAGTGCCCAAGTTTTATACTTATACTGGACAGCTATTTCGACCTAGTCTAGGACACATTGGCAGTACACACCCACCGGCTGCAGAATGGGATTTCCTAGAGTTCTAGTGAGAAGTCATGACCAGTGGGGTCCATCCTATTGGGAGTGAGTACAAATGCTCGCTGATGACAGTGAATGGTGCCAGTCGTGCTAAAGTTAGGATTCATGAACCATTGAAACGGGTCTTAGTGACTGTACGGGCTACGAGCTTGCGTTGTAACCGGAGGGTCTTGGGTTCGAACCCCAGTGGGCGCGTACTGTCAATGAGTCCGAAACTAGGACGAAACAGCTGTCCAGTGCTGGTTTTCAATAGTTCGCTAACTGATATCAATCCACGGTCAAACTTTTAAAACAACTTATCAACAGTGATTGTTTCAAAGTGTTCAGCTGAAGCATAAATACTAATAGTCTCTAATGACAAAAATGATAATAATAAAAACAAAGATGACTTAATAAGAAAGCATTTGAAAGCATGTTTTTTATCACTTACTGAACAGAAACTACAACCGGATTGTATTTCATTTTTTTTAATTACGAATGGTTCATCACATTTAGAGCACACATGACAACGATGACTTGAAACTACAATTAAAAAGGAAAGAAACTAAACGTTTAGGTTTCAAGCTTAGAAAACATCAAAATTCTTATAACTTTACTAAAGTCTACAATATTTTATCATTCCATGCTAGATATCTGTGTGTGTTTGGAATTCTTTGTGTTTCGAAACTAACACGGATGTCCTATACATGGACCAGGTAGAATTCGACAGTCAGGACTTGAATTTTTATTTGGCTGTTTCCTAAACACTATCAAAAATGACCAGTCTATACAAGAAATGTTGGGATTTACTTTACATGCAGATAGAAAAAGATCTATTCGATCATCATGTATTTTGTGCAAAAAATTATTAACATAACAGAAGAATTCATATATACTGGAAATATGAATTTATTTTTTAAGGGATCTGCTTATGTCAACACGCTGACATAACATTCAGATAGTATATGTCAGTTAATTATAAGAGTTGAATACATACACTGGATTTTGTACAGAAATTTGATATTTATTCATGTTAATGCATACAATAAAAAAATAGTTTTACAACTGACCTTTGTTAAAATGAGATTATCGACCACTGCAATAACAGACTATGGAATGCATCTAAAGGTTTCCTTTAGAGATTATAGGGTCTCCTTAGATTAAAAACATCTTCGAAAGATATATTATTTAGTTTGAAAACCTGAATAAGGAAACATTTGTTCTATTTAACTGAAAATACATTATCTCTAGAAACTATGAATTCGAGTAGAGCATGTTGATTGTATGGAATTTTCTGTTTTTCCTTCTTCATTGGTTCACAATCTCAGTGGATTAATTTTGATAGACTTTAGAAGATGATCAATGATACATAGAACTTCATTTCTCTTTTACAATTCTTCCTGTCAACCCAACAGATATGTGCGTCACGTGTAGTACATTTGTTTTGCATATTGTGGCACAAAAAACATGGAACAATTTCATCTAAGAATATTCCATCATTTTTGCTGAGATAATTAAGCTTTTTTACAACACATCCATCGCTTAAAATCGTAGACTGTCTACGATTTACAGAAAACTAAGTTAAACATTGAGCAACTTATTAGAAGTTCGATGAATAAGTTTTAGACCTCATTTTGCTCTATACTGTAAATGAATTGTTATTTGCAAGCCAGAGTGTGATTACTCATCAACAAATCGAGAAGACACGTTGTTGATTTCTAATTTAAAGAAAATTATTTTAACAAAATAGTAAGTCAGACTCAAGTGGAATGGTCGCGTCATCGAAACCAAACTGGACTTTTAGATGGTAGTCATAAACCTTATGAAAGATTTGTCTACATAAGTATTACTTACAGCAGACTTATTGAATCTTAGCTTTGAAGGTATTTACTAAATTTGATCTTGTTTCACACGAATGTTTGTAACTAAGGTTTAAAAAGTTTAAAAAATTCGTCTGTTTAACGAAGTATCTTGTACTGAGTTACTTTTCTATTAAATGACCATTTATCATTCAATGTTGTTTTGCTTATATACACTATCAAATGTGGTGCAATGAAAGTTCCAAACCCGATGACTAAATACATCATTTGAGAAGGGAATACTCATTGTGCCTTTAAAATAATGTAATAATTATGAATAATGACACTTTTAGATAACACTTTTATAAACTGAGGTTTAAGAAACAAGTAGATATGTGACATCTATTGCTCTCTAATGACCAACCAAAGTATTCATTGCTGACATTCAGAATGTCAGTCATTACATTTCTCCATGCAGCACCGGGTGGCAACAACTGTTAGTTGAAGGACAACAGTGTTCATCTTTACTAAGTAATTTTACTTACTTTTACAGCGTGCGAAGACTAAGTACGAAATACTGTGATGAATTTAAATTTGTATTCAAAAAGAAAATAAAGTCTTGACTATGAATATCAAAATATTTTTGAAGATTTTCTTCTAAATTTACTGATAAACAATATATAAACAATTATATCTATTCTACTCTGTAGTGTTGGAGAATTCTCATTTTCCAATGAATTAATAAAAGGTAAAATGTATGTCATTTTTAATAATAAAACATTTTAATCTCATAATTTTTATGTTGTTTTAATGCTTGAATAAAATTACTTTAGGGAACTTTCAAATTTAGAAAAATGTAGCTAAAAAATCAATATATTTCAGCTTTTTCACTGATATTAGTAATGTTAGTAACTAGTAGAAATATTAAGAGAAATGTGAATCTGTGGTTAGAATAATACATGTTTATGCAGACTACATTAATGTGTCTTTATAAATCTCTAATCTAGAAACAGTATTTCTCTCACCTCACACTGTACAAATTTCTTACTATCTGTTAAAGTGAATTTTCATCTGTGATGTTAAAAGTCTTTATAACCATTATTCGACTTTGATAGAAGTATTAAACTTGGGCACTGTGGTAGAGTATAACTTCATTATAGATAAGATCACACAATGTTATACAGTAATATTAACTGATGACGTTTCGAGCACAAACTATTGCTCATAATCTCCAAGTGATCTGCTTGATATGCATTCAAAGTGTTTGTCTTCGGCAATTTTAAAAATACACTGTCATCCTAATCACAGAAATCTATGACATTTAAACTGGTCAGCACATTCCAGCGTTAATAACCTAACCGTCAGCTTACAAAGATTAATGAAGTTTTGGTTCAAATACATTTTACATACAAGTAGTCAATTTGGTAACTCTGATTTCTTTAATATTTGTGATATGGTGTTTATTACTCACATTAATAAATTCTCGTCGTACTATCCTGTTTGTGTTTTATTCAGAACAAACATCCACACTTATATTCGTTTTAAATTTCTTTTCTTCCCTAAATATTCATCATGATGATGGGCAAATTAAGCAAAGAAAGAATGCTTAATATTTAACTAGTTCATAAATTACCAACAAAGGAAAAATTCCACAGTCACAGAAGTTAACAAAATAATTATGATGATATGCTAAATGTATATAGGATATAGTATGCCATATAGCTCTTCTTTACACAATACTAGAAAGATTTGTTTTGTTAAATATATCCGGTATGTTGTTTGGTTATTCAAATACATTAAGGAAACTGTGTCTTATCACTCATTCATTTGCAATTCTATACACCTATGAAATGATAGAAGACGAGAAACTTGGTAAAAGAATGTTTATTTGTAATTCGGTATCTCTAAATAGTCAAAACATGTACACCTTATCTTCAACTCACCATTTGCACAGATCTTTCGTGTTGTGCTACTTCTGGCTTTCGCATTGTGTTTCTTTGAGTTCCTTTCGCTTCTCCTATGTATCTCCGCAACTCTGTCTCATTTGCTTTCTCTGACACCAAATCTATCTTCAAGTGTTGGTTTGCAGGGATTTGATTGGTTTCAGGATTTTATCATGAAATGACTATAGTTAGAGTCGCATTGGAAAACCTGGGAGTGCTGGAAAAAGTTTCGTCCCAGTTTTGGACTCTCTAGCAATACTCACCCACTGAGGTTCGAATCCAGGACCTTCGGGTTACAAGGTAAACTCGTATACCATTAAGCCACTGGGACCTGATCCAGTGACCGGTTCATGAATTCCAACTTCTGCCAATTCATGATATGGTGCGACCACTGGCTAATGTCATCGACGAGTATTTGTCCTCACACCCGACCGGCTGTATCCGACCGGTCACGACTTCCCACTAGAACCCAGGTTACTACCTACCTGAATAGGGCATGTCACTATTCAGCATCAGATTGTCGGGTGTGAGGTCAGATACTCGCTGATGACATTCGCCAGTGGTCGTGCGATATCTTGCATTGGTAGAAGTCGGAATTCGAGAACCACTGAATCGGGTCCCAGTGACTTAATGGTCTAAGAGCTCGCTTTGTAACCCAAATGTCGTATATTCAAATCTCAGTGGGTGAATATTGCTGAAGAGTCTGAAACCGAGATGAAACAGCTATCCAGTACTCCCAGATTTTTCGATAGGCCTCTAATCGATGTAAGTTCCTGATGAAATCCTCAAATCAAATCTATCTCCCTGTTATTCAATGCTTTTATGCCGATGAATGTCTCTCTGTAAACTACTGACAAATTTTATCATAAGCACACGCCACACCTAAACAGTCTGTCAGTATATCAAACACCATCACTCATGAAATAGAAATTCATCCAAGAGAAATATTCTGATCAAACAGGATAAAAGTGTATGTGATATATTTATCAGATTCAGTGTTATAACTGTTTTACTTCGATTACAGAGTGATTTAAAATTTAAGACATTCTATCGAATATTTACAAACAAATTACGTCACTTACATTAAATCTGTACATAACTGCATTCAGTTTCATTAACACTTTGATATAAAAGGTACGACTAATATATGATATTATAGCTTCCCGCTCATTAGTGAAATATATATATTATATATGCTTAATTAATGTATGCAGTGAATTTCGGACAGACTGAATGTGTTGTATGACATTTAACCATTGGTGAAAAGAACAGGAAATTTTTTCTAAACTAATAACGGAATTTTTACTTAAATATTGATAATATGCAATCTGGTATACAGTCAGACTCGGTTAATAGGTGATCTCTGATCATTCCATATTTATGGCGACCATATATTCTCTGAATTGTGATTCATATTCTTTTATGAAATTTTTTGAGGTGGACATCAGTATTTATTTAGCAGCTAATTGATTACAAGTATTACGCAAGGGTTATTATTATTATTGCTATTATCACATATTTAGTGAATTTCATCCATTGATATTGGGATTAGGATTTTTAACACACCTATAAAGATGCTATTGTTGCAAATATTTGGATACTACGTTTTAGTTGAAGAGGTTTACGTCTTACAGGTTCAGCTTCTTTGAACACTGTTAAAACTTGTCACCTAGCTGATATAGAATGAAAAATTAATAAATCAGGATTTTTAAAGGTGTTGGACAGATAGACAACAACTTCTAGTTGTTGAAGCTGTTGCTATCCACAGAGTGAAGCTTGAATTATGATTTCATCATGAGCT